TGTGTGTGTGTGGGGGGGGGGGGGGGGGGGAGAGAGACAATTTTATGTCTTTTTTGCATTTTCCCTACAAAATCAGGTCAGATTTTTAGTAAATAATATTTAAAAGACAAAAAATCTTGCTTAACAACTTAATTCCAATCCTCCCATGGAAAATGCCCCCAAATGAGTAACCTCCTGAACTTTAATGGGTGGGTGCAAACCATCAGAACCAATCACTCTCAGATTAAGATTTGTCTTCATTTCTTTTCTTAAAAATATATTTCTTATTTATTTTAAAGATAAATCAATAGCAAATGTTCAAGAGCTTTCTGGGATTCTAATGTCATGCTGAAAGAATATTCCATAAAGCATACCAGCAACTTCTGTCCCCCTCTCTCACCCCTAAAACACTTCACCCAACTGAGATTTTCTCTTTATCTTCCTCAAACTGGCAGAATGTATGAAACGGCTAACTGGAACTTCCTCATGCATTGTCCTGGGTCTTAGCTTAGTCTGGCTCTATACATGTAAGTCAATGAAAACAAACAGATCTAAAAATTCTTTTAATTTAGCCACATAATTGATTAGCATCCTTAGTTTCAATAGGCTGTTTAACTCTAATTTTCCCCCAATAATCTATGGTTTGATTGACATTATTGAGGTGATGAAATTCTCTTCACAGGTTCATATTTATATAAACACATTATAAAGGGACTAGTCCTAGGACCTAAAGGCAGATGATTTGTTCTTTCTCACTCACTTTTTCCTTACTCCAAACCCAAGAGTGGAAGGCCAAAATGTGGAACCCTGGCTACACTTGAAGAGTCAGTCTACCATATACAACATTTGTGCATGCTCTTCTCGCTATCAGAATAAACAATGGTTCAGGAAGCTAGCACCAGCAGACAGCTGCAGTCAAGCAGTAAAATTAAGAATTCAGAACCAGGACACTGGGTCCATGTCATCAGGAAATGCCCAGGGCTTGCATCCAGCCAGAAACTGAGGCTCAGACCTCTATCACCTCCACACCCTTCCATCCTCACACCACTTCTCCCTACCTTTGTTGACCTTTGCTGACCTTCTCTACCCTGGAAGCCCGGACCCTAAACAGGCCATATCTAGAAACTGCCTAGCTTGTTTTGGCCAGGATGTGAAATATTTTAAACACCTAACCCACCACAAGAGTGATCAGTGGCTTCATTTTACATCCACCCTGAAGTGAGGACCCAATGGCAATTAGCTTTTAATTACAGCATTATTCCCAGAATGATAGGAGGATTTACTTAAGGATTTGGGAAGTAGGAAATGTTAAGCGCCTTGGAGGAATAAAGATTGGAAGCAGGAAGTGCAGCTTGATCCAAAGGAAGGATTGTCCTAAAATCTGCCGGACCGACCATGGACACAGCAGATAAGTGTGTCTGGGTGAGCTAACAGCTTCCTCCACACCAGAGTTTGAAAGGATAGCTTAAGAAGAGGGGATTAGGCCATTATGGAAAGGACAGTGATGTTTCTCCTTCCAGCCTGACTGGAGAAGCAACCATGGCATGTGTATAATATCCTTTTCAAATACATTAAAAAAAAAAAAAATTTACACATTTTCCAAGCATTTCTCTCTTGACAACAAGTGATCACATTAGAATCCTGGAATCCTAAAATCTCAGATATCATCCATTCCAACTTTTTCATTTGACTGATGGAAAATCTAAGGTCCAGAGAGATAAAGTGACTTCTCTCAAATTATTAAAGTTTCCTGTTTCCCTAAGGGTGTAATAATACAAAAAGGTTATTAACCTATGTAACATGGAGAAAGGAGGCCAGTGTAATGTTGTATGTCTGGATGTCTGCCAACTGTGTGATCTCAACTAATTTGCTCATTTCCCCGAACCTCAGTTTCTTCATTTCCAACAACTAGAATAAAAACAGCAACCAACTTCAAAGGGTTGTTGTAAGAATTAAATGAGAAAATATATTTTAAGCATTGAGTGCCATGCCTGGTACTAGTAGGTATCAACAAAATAATATAATTATTGTTGTTGTTATCTCTACTGATAGCATTAACAGTCTATAGAACTGTGAAATCAGTAGTCAAAATAATTTTAATCAAAAATAATGACATTACTATTACAATAATATGACTAGAATTTGTTGAGTATGTGCTTGGGCACTTTGCTAATTGCTTTAAATACATCATTTCATCCTAATCCTTCTAACTCCACAGATAAGAAAATTACTCCTGAAAGAAACTTAATATTTTGCTCAAAAGCTGATAAATGGTGCTCCTAGGACATGAACTAGATCTCTCAGATTCCAGAATGCACATTGTTGTTCTGAATCAAGACTAATCATCTATAGATAAAGGAGAAATAAAGAGAAGGGAAATGTTTGATTTCATGAGTGAGGTCTTTGACTCTTCTCCCAACTACAACAGACGAAAGGATGCATTTAGAGCCGAATGGGCCAATATCAATCATTGCACTTAACCACATCAGACTTTTATAATAAATGTTTTGGCTGAGTATGAGGTCACTCAATGTCAGCTCAATATCCCTTTAACAGGGAGCTATAAGTCAATCTGCCATCTTGAGATTTATCTCAGATATATACTAAAATTGGTTGGTTTTCTACTGATTGAGCATTTGAGATACAGAAGTTTGAGAATTAGTTGCTATTTATTTGATGTGTTCCTGTATCCATCAAAACTGGAGCCACATTATCTGCTGTTTTAATATGTCCTAAAGCTTCCCAAATCTGGCTTCCATAATTGTGTGGAAAATGGCATTCATTCAGAAAATGGTAGTAAATTTTCCTGCTTGTGGATATTCAGAGATTTTATTTACACAGGCTGTTAACCAGGTTAATGTCACCCAACCTGTCCCTAGGGTGGAGGTAGAAGTCAGGGTGTGCGTGAGGCAACTTTCTTAAGGATGCTCAAAGCCATCTCAGAAAACTGTATCTTTAGTCAAAAGGCCCACATGTTGCAAAATATTGAAAGGAGGGTGCCTTAAATTGTGAAATCTTCTGTGAGGGATCTCATTTTTCTGGAACTCTCTGACATCTGAGCCCTCGTGCTACTGGAAGGGTTCCAAGAGCACCATAAAATTAGGGCTGGACCTGTCTGAACTGAGTCCAGATCATTTCAAAGTGACTCAAGGCAGGGAAATAAATATTGAACCTAGTTAAATGTTGCTTGAGATTATGCTTGGCACTGGGTGTCCGGTCACTGATTTACTCTTAGGTTACTTGGGTTATTTTGAGCTCAAATGGATATGCCAGGGTGGATTCATTCAATGGCAGCAATTATTTGCAAGTGCAGTTACATTTCTGAACATTTAGTGGAATGTAATGTAAAGATTTATGGGATGGCATTGGGTGGGTGGAGAAGATGTCAGAGTCCTTGGTTTCATGCTATTTTATTCCACTCTGGATCACATTGTTTCCCCCACTTCCTTGTCTTCTTTTCCTTACCTTCCTTGAATAAACTGTCTTTCTTTCTTCCTACTTTCTTTCTTTCTTCTTCCTTTCCTTTTTTAGGCAGTAACATAAGTAATGAATGAACAGTAAGAAATCAAGATCAAAGAGCTGTAATGATCTGTAGCTCACCCCACCCCTTTAAACTGCCCAAATATGTAGGGGTAGCTGTTTGGAAAAGAAATGTTTTAAGTGGCCAGTTATGTGTTTAATGAACAGACTTTGAAGCAAAGGGGCCCCATACATAGCACATTTGTACTGTGTACACACCTGCCTGAACTAGCCTGTGGCATTTTCAGTCTGGGACTGATGTTGGGCTTGATACCTCAGTGCCACAAGATAGAAGTCCTAGGCACTCCCAGCCCACTGCCTCCCCTCCCTTCAGCAAGAGGAGAACACTCCCCAGGGCTAAGTTTGATCTTGCCCTGGGATCTGAGGCTCTGGTTTCCATGTCCAGTCACAGCCCGTCCAGGCCCAGGAGCAGCATTCTGCTAAGAACCACGTTTGGGGCTCCACAGTCCCACATGGGACTCCTGATCTGTGCTACGTTAGCTGTTGACCTCCAACATCTGATCTAAAACTCTCCAAGCTCAGATTCCTTATCTGCAAAATGAGGTTGATAGCAGTTCCTACCTCATGGAGCTGCTGTGAAGATTTAATTGGGGTAGTGTATGGAAAGTTGGGCACCTGGCATACAGTAAATAATAAGTAGTAGCAATTATAATAATTCTCTAAGTGTCAAACCACCTCTCTTTCTGAAAGACCTGCAGACTCTGAGCACAGATGTAACCACAGCCCCCAGCCTCTACAGAACTCAGTACACCAGTGAGACAGTTCAAAGACCTGGCAGAGGTGGAAGACGGGGCCAGAGAAGGGGGCCCACCGCGGCAACCAAGCAGGGACTCTCTTACAAGCACATACACCTGTTCCAGACAGGATTGCTCCGGCTCTGACCAGTTTCCACCTTGACTGAACAAAGTGCAGGGCCCTGCACAACACGATTTAAAGCACAAACCTTTTTAACTGGCCTATCTTTGGAAAAATTAGACATAAGGCAACAGAGTATAGATTAAATCCCGTTAGGAGAAAAATCAATAAGAAATATCTGTTTGACAAAGCTCCAGACTTAGACCGTCTTCTTTCAAAACCTATTTGATCCAACTTAAGTACAAGACTCACAATTTCCGTGTGTTTAATATTGTGCAGTTCCCAAGGCACTTCCCAACCTTATCTGACTTGAGCCTTCCCCAGACCTTTCAAGGTGTGTATTATTATCTACACTTTATGAATAAGAAACTGATGCTCAGAGAGGTTTAAGTCAAGTCCAGTGTAACTAGGCTAACACCTGACTGAGTTATTTCTTAACCCCAGTGTTCCCGCATTAACACTGTTCAGCTTCTTCTACCCGATGAAGCTTGGTAATCACAACCCCCACCACACCGACAAATCCAACCTGGCTCTGATTAGAAGTGCGTCTTCAGTAGAGGCTATGAAGAGGGAATCAACTGAAGTGGGGCATGAAGAATCTCTGGTTTTAAAATCCGGTCATGAATACGCACCATATACTGAAGAACTTTCAGGAAAGAAACACAATCCAAGCACTTCTGGGAGCTCTTCATTGGGGAGCTTTAAGAAGTAGATTGGACACGAGAGGTGATATACTTGGTAAGCCAGTTGAATATAAATACTATGGTAAATTTAATGATAGCATGCCCCAAACTTCAGACCTAAGAGTCTCACCAAAGGCACAAATGAAGAGGAATTTTACAGAGGCAGATCAAATCTTGTGCCTCCCAGCCACAGTGAATTATTTCTGTTCCTCCCAACACATTTTCAGAGGCTCCCCATGCCCCCTATCCCCGCGCTCTTTGCTAAGTGGGGAATAAAGATCTGAGCTGGTCAAAAGACCAGGGCTCCCAAAGAGAGGCGGATCGATCTCGTGATGCTGTTTTCACCCTCCCCCTTTCCTACCACAGAGGACAAGAAGATGGACAAGGATTAAATGCGTCCTGGTAACCATGTATGGATTATTCATCAGAGAAAGCATGATTGAAACCATAGCTAAGAGATGATGATTTCAAAATGCCCTACATTTCCCATCCCAACCTGAAGCTGTGGGGGTGGAGTCAGAGCCAACACCCAAAGCTTCCAAAGGAGCCCAACTCCTTGACTCGGTCACCATGGGGAGCCCAGGGCCCGACCCTGACTGTACCTCAGCCACACTGGGGAGCCAGAAAGACTGTCTTTCTTAGGGTATGTTCCAAAATGGTTTTCTTGCCTCCTTTTTAGCCCAGAGTGAAACAGGTTGTTTCCTTTGCAGAAAGCACAGCCCTGCCTTTCCCCATGGTGAGAGAAACACTCAGCAGACATCCTCCCTGAGCTGACTGAACTGATGGCTCTCTCAGTAAGCAGCCACTGGACTACAGCTGAGGCCAACTGGAGCATGTCCAATGACGTCTGTGGAGCCCAAGATTTGGTTTCATTAATCTCAGTAGACAAATCAACTGGGCATTTCCTGGCAGTGGTTTTTTTGGTTTGTTTTTTTATTTTTATTTTTTTTTGGCCACACCATGGGGCATTTGGAATCTTAAGTTCCCAGACCAGGGATCAAACCTGCGCCCCCTGCAGTAGAAATGCAGAGTCTCAACTGCTGGACTGCCAGGGACATCTGCCTGGCAGTGTTTCAACTGCCATGGTGGGTCTGATTAGGAAGTTGCTAGAACTACAAGTCCAAAAGTGACTCAGGGAGGGTCTTAGCTTCTGCCAAGGGTAAATAAGATGCCATGGCTGCTCTGAAGGTGATTCCACCAGAACAGAGGGAGGCTGGCAAACCTATCACTCCCCCCCGAAGGGATGTGACCACCAGCCACCACCACAACACACATCTCTACTACAACCAGAGACAGTTAAGGGGCCTTGGACTACAGGCAGGCCTGAGTGCCTGAAACCAAGGCTTCCTTCCAGGAAGCTTGACAGACTTCTCCCCAGAGGTGCTCCTCATCCTCCCGGTGAGGCGAGGTGGTGAACAGCAGGAGCTGAGAGCCAGGCTGCCAAGGTTTGAATCCCAGCTCTGTCCATGAACCATGTGATCCTCAGTCACTTAACCTTTCTAGGTTTCAGGCTCCTCTTCTACTGAAGGGGATGGTCAAAGCTCCCATACAGCATTCTGAAGTGGCTGTGGGATTAAACTGCATCATCTGTGGTGGTGGTGTTTAGTCACTAAGTCATGTCCAAATCTTTTGCGACCCCATGGACTGAAGCCTGCTAGGCTCCTCTGTCCATGGGATTTCCCAGGCAAGAACACTGGCATGAGTTGCCATTTCCTCATGATTTGTATACAGATTTAGAGCAGGGCCTAAGTCTGAGCAAATGTGGAGTCATGTTAGATGGGATTTCCCTCATCCTGTGCACTAGGGCCCCCATGTTCTCCTCTCCCCAAGACTCCATGCTGTCTGCCCTGTGGGGCTGTTGTGTTCTGGGCCTTTATGCCATTTATCTTCTTCTTTTTTTAATTGGAGGGTTGACACAGCAGGGGAAGAAGAGGGTAAGATGAATTGAGAGAGTAGCATTGAAAGGTATACATTACCATATTCCCTTTATCCTTCGAAACCTTCTGTCAGCTGTCATATTAAAAAATGTCTGCAATCCACAAATCCATGCCATGATCAATGTGTTGCCCTATGAGGGGCCTTTGTATTCCTCAGGGAGACAAAGCCTTAGATACAAGGAACGAACATCTAGGAGGAGCTCTTAGACATTACTGGCCCAAAAGTGGGAAAAGTTTTTATATCCTATAGGAGAGCATTAAAGAACAGGAGAAAGCAAGCCAGGACCTTATAATCCAAACAATGATTTTAGGATAAGAAGAGCATATATGACAGGTACCCAGGTGGCACTGGTGGTA